AGTTCTGGAATTCCATACTGGTAATCATTGCTTAGCTGTGAATATACTTAAAACCACTGAATTATATACTATATAATTGGGCGAATTGTGTAGTACAGGAATTTTATTTATCTCAATAAAGCTACTATTTCAAGTTTTCACACAATATAATTTCCTGAAGGAATTAAGAAGTGGAAGGATATACACTGAAGACCTAGTAATGAAAAGAATAGTATTAACAAAAGTGTTTCATTCAGAAGGAAGTCAAATTTATTTTCTACACCTAACATACTACATTATAAAAGAATGGGGGAATGCATGTATCACATGGAAATCAACAATGTGAGAGAATCTGAGTCAATACAATAGGAGTCCACCTACATAGGCTGTAACTATTGACCTCACTATTTCAAACTTCTTAGGTCAATCGAAGACATCACATTCTTGATTTAGTCTACTTAGGTTTCCAGGCATACCTAAAAAGCAGGTAAAATAAGGCTGATGATATTACATTATTATTGGCTATAATTATGGTTAACTAAAAGTCATCCTATATAATTATGACTCATAAGCACAAACTAATATTAACACTGTTTCTACCAAACATTTAACTAACGGGACGCCTGGGTGGCTCAGTCAGTTAAGCTTCTGCCTTTGGCTTAGGTCATGATTAGGGTCCTGGGATCCAGCCCCATGTCAGTCTCTTGGTTCAGCAGGGAGCCTGCTTCTCCCTCTCCCACCGGCTCGTGCTGTCTTACGCACACTCTAATAAATAAAATCTTTAAAAAAAATCATGAGCAAAAATGGTGTTTATCCAATCATCTGTCAGATCAATTCAGTAAGACAGTTCCCCATATGAATACTTCAATAACCACCTCAAGAATCAGGCCACAGACAAGATGGACCTTTACTTAGGGTCATCAATTTCATACTATAGACCATTGGTGAGGAAAGATATATAATTTGTTGGCTATTGTCCACAATGCTCATTTTCTTTAAATAAGAGCAAGTTCATTTACAAAAACCTCCTAAATGCCTCCTTCAATGGTAACAGGCACAGATGACAGGCAATTTATGTAGGGGGCGGGGGGAGCCTAGAGGTAACAGGCTTCATAACAGCCACTGACCTTTGTCAAGTGAAAGCACCAGAGAGGGGACTAGCTTTCCATGCACTTGCATTGTGAATCCCAAAGGACTGGGAAAAAGGGAGAGAAGATCAACTCTGAGGAGTTAGATCCAAAGCACTTATGGGAAATGGTGATTCCAAATCTTTTCTGAGTCTTCGATTTTACACTGTTCACTATTAAAAGTGTTGTGTGCCATATATTTACCAAAGGGAAATCTAACTCCTTCAGGGCACCTGGGTAGCTCAGTTGGTTAAGCATCCGCCTTGAGCTCAGGATATGGCCCAGGGTCCTGGGATGGAGCCCTGAATCTGGCTCCCTGCTCAGCGGGAAGCCTGCTTCTCCCTCTACCTCTGCCTGCTGCTTCCCCTGTTTGTGCTCTGTGTTAAAAAAAAAAAAAAATCTTAAAAAAAATAAAAATATAAATTTGACTCTTTCAAGACCTAAAGCATATCTTCAGATATCCCAAGATGTTACATAAAGAAGGCTGAGAAGGGCGCCTGGGTGGCTCAGTCAGTTGAGGGTCTGCCTTTGGCTTGGGTCATGGTCCTGGGGTCCTAGAATAGAGCCCCCTCAGTGTTGGGCTTCCTGCTCAGCAGGGAGTCTGCTTCTCCCTCTCACTCTCCCTCTGTGCTTTCTCAAATAAGTAAAACCTTTAAAAAAATTTTTTTAAAAAAGGCTGAGAAACACTAGTTTACACAAAGCATCAAAAGGCATTATTTGAAGAGTATTATATAAATTCAAGAGTTCATTCTGAAAGCAATTAATGTTCCCTATGGCTAGAATATTATAGTTATCCCAAGTTGACTTTTTTCCTCATACAGGGCACTAAGTTTCCAAAAGACTGTAAAACCACAATAGTATAAAGGAATTATTTTCACCTAACAGTGGGCCTTTGAAAATTCTAATGAAAAAAATCTATTTAGGCAATCTAGGAAGTATATCTGAGTTTGTTTAAAGGGGAAAAAATAAAAACTCATTTGTCTATATTTGCAGATAGGAGAAACAAGTAGATTAAATCAGCATCACATGCTATTCTAGATACTATTCTATTCTCCACTTAACTTTTCCGCCTTAAAGATTCTTCCATAATAAATGTTTTTCTTTCATTCCTAATCTGTGAGTTTTCTGGGGCGGGGGGGGGGGGGGGGCTTTCATGAAACTATGCTTCCCAAGTTTACTTGCCTTGCAACTGACTCTACTTGGCTTTGCAATTTAAGCTCTGAGCCTCAGCTGGCATCACCAGGAGGATTCAATTACACAGATATGTTTATACAGGTGAAATCCTCAAAAACAATCAAGAATACCAGTAAGTAAGTACACAAGGCTGTTATGATTCAGCTAAAATTTTAAGGACACCTGAAATGCCTTTCCTTTTGAAGACTTTATTTGAGGAGTGGAGAGGAGCATAAGAAGAGAGACAAGCCAACTCCGCACTGAGTGCAGAACTCGAGGTGCAGCTCGAGCCCAGGACCCTGAGGTCATGACCTGAGCAGAAATCAGAAGTCAGACCCTTAACTGACAGCCACCCAGGCACCCCATGCTGTCTTTCCTTTTGCCCAAGTTCTCTGACTTTAGATTTCATGGAATTTAACCATATTTATACTTTTTCTGAAAAGAAAAAAGAGCAAATGGAATTCTCTCTTAGGAGGGCCAAGTAACATGGAAGGGAGAAAATAATGTCCTCCTTCACCAAGCCAGGCATAACTAACAATCAAGAGGAAAATCAGTCTCCTCTTTGGAGAAAGCCACAAAAACAGTTCTTGCCTGTCAATTAAACCGCTGTGGGGAAAAAGTTGAAGTAAGGGCAGACGGGCGCCTGGGTGGCTCACTCGTTAAGCGTCTTCTTTTGGCTCAGGTCATGGTCCCAGGGTCCTAGGATCAAGTCCCACATTGGGAATCCCACCTCAGCAGGGAGTCTGCTTCTCAATCTACGCTTCCCCCTGTTCATGCTCTCTCTCTCGAATAAATAAAATTTTTAAAAATTAAATAAAAATTTTTAAAAAGGCGGCTCTATAACCACCAACACGGGGCTTTGACTCACCACCCTGATACCAAGACCTGAGCTGAGATCAAGAGTTAGATACTTAACCGACTGAGCCACCTGGACACCTCTACCTAGCAATTCTTGAATCCAATGTAATTTACAAAAGAGATGGTACACTGGAAACAGAACTAACATTAAGTGTGCACTATTTGCTATGCCCTTTACATACATGCTCTATTTTCTGTTTCAATAGTACTCAAAATTTTGGAGTCAAACTCTGGGAAAATTTCTCCCATCATCATCTTTCTTCATTGTTAGAGTTCCCAATGGGGAAAACAAAACAAATATATATATATGTAAAACCCTGCAGAAATAAAAATGCAGCCACTTCTACTCTCCCCAATAATCTACACTTTAAGTAAATGTGACAACACTAGAATTTAACTCCTAATAATCTACAATTCATTGTGCATGGTACCTAGTAGGTGTCCAGTGTTTGTTGTTAAATGAATACAAATATTTGATACACAAGCATTTTGTTAATGTGCATTTATCATTCTACTCATTAAAAACACATCTTAACACACACACACAGCCACACTGATATCTACTCCTGAAAATGCCCTCATAACAAGAAGTGGAAAATCAGTATGATACAGTGGAACAGGATGATGACAATTAGAGAAATTATGAAGGGAAATTCCAAACACTAAATGTTTCCAGTCTTTCTGATGTCACTTATATTGATTTCCATGGAAATTGACAGGTGTCTGCAAAAAATCTATTCCTACTTCAAAACTTTAGGACTGCTCTTGACCACAATATCACACATAATCACATCTTTTTACATCCATTTAAATGCCTTATCAGAAAATTTACATTTGGGGCGCCTGGGTGGCTCAGTTGGTTAAGCGATTGCCTTCGGCTCAGGTCATGATCCTGGAGTCCGGGGATCGAGTCCCGCATCGGGCTCCCTGCTCAGCGGGGAACCTGCTTCTCTCTCTGACCCTCCCCCCTCTCATGTGCTCTCTCTCTCTCTCTCATTCTCTGTCTCAAATAAATAAAATCTTTAAAAAAAAAAAAAGAAAATTTACATTTGAAGGGAAGTCACTTATCTACAAGTAATATGCAATATGTTCAACTAACCTCAACAGAAATGAATATTGCTATCACTTATCATTTAAAGAGTACCTATCAGAAATACAGGTAATTCTCATGCTAGTGGACAAACGTTTTTACTAACCACTCATTTCAGTTCGTTGAACAAGTATGCCTAAATCTGCATATTTTGTACTTCAGACAAAATATAGGTAGAGAAATGTACTGGGATTTGTTTTGTTTAGGGTTATCAGAAGGCATCATAGAGTTTAACTCCACGGAATTGTTTACCAGCAAGCAGGTCGGTGTTCCGAAGAAGAAAGCCATAGAACATATGCAAAATAAGTCTCTTTCAAAATAATTTTTTATATAGGGAATAGACGGGAGTGCAAAACACATCAGTCATCAGTAACAAAAAAGAATCTTTGTCCCTCGCTATTTGTAAACAGGAGCTCGGGCCAGCGCTCCGACCAGGCACCCAGGAGGTGAGGAATGATTGTTGGGCAGGGTTTTGCCCATCACGAAGCGTTCCGCAAGGGCTGCCCGGGAGGCGGACCTCCTCCTGTACCAGGCACGGTCCTCGGACCGAGACAAAGCCCTACGAGAACTCTTCTGCTTCCAGCTTGGGGGCTGGAGTCAACCGTCCCTGCTTAACTTCCCTGCAGTTATCCCCGCATTCTTAAACCCCACTATCTCCACTTTGCCAGGCACCCCGAATCCACCGCGGCTCCGGCGGCCCCCGATCCCGTGGCCCCTCCGAGCCTGTGCGCTCCGGGAAGCGCCCCCGGGCGGCGCCCCCGTAGGCGGCTTACCGAGCAGCGAGCCTATGAAGATGACGACCTGCACGGTGGTGGTGAACTGGCGGTACAGCTGAGCCTCGCCGAACTCCCCGAGCGCGCTGCGGTTGGCGCTCCCAGCCTCCGCGCCCGACGCGTTGCGCGGCTCGCTGGCGTTTCGGGAGATCCAGCTGCCGTTGTGCCCCATGTCGAGGAAGGGGTTCCGGCTCCACTCGTCGCCCGCCCACCTCGGAGCCCCGCCTGGGTCGCTCCTGCCCCGGGTGCGGTGGAACACGCGGGCGCCTGGTGGAGTCCTGGAGAACCCGGGGCAGCCGCGGGTCCCCTCACCTCTCCACATCGCCAGCCCCGGCGCCTGGGAGGCGGGGAGGGAGGAGGGCGAGGCTGCGCCCCAAGCCGGTTCCCTCCTGGGTCCCCGTCAGCAGCCACATGGAGGCGGCACGGTCAGAGCCGGCCGAGCTGCGTCCGTCCCTCCTCCCGGGTAGTCAGCGCGGCCAAGCCCACTCGGCAGAGATGGAAACACAGGAGGCATCTGATAGTCAAGGAGGTGCTCCCCGCTCCCGCCGCCCTCTTCAACCTCTGCTCCTTCCACCCCCCGAGGGCCGGGCCATCCCTCTCGAGTCCCCTCCGGCCGACGGGCTTGACCCCTCTCCTCAGGAGGACGAGAACATTTGGCTGATCAATCCTGCTGGCTCTGAGTGGCTGGATGGCGATGGGAAACCTGTGAAATGCCCAAGCCAAGTGACCGGAGCTCCGAGGGGACCCGGAGTCCCGACGGCACCTACGGTCTGGGCGGAATGCCCTGAATCTCCCAACAGCCTCGCCCTCACGCGCCCGGCCGTCCCCCAGGACGCCGGCGCGGTCTCCTCTGGCCCAGCCCCTAGTCCGGGACTCCAACCTCCCGCCTCGGTGTCAGCGGCAAGAGACACCGTTCTGGAGCCCCTTTGCCTCTGCACGGCCTAGCGCCCCCTTTCCCGGCCCTGCTCCCGCCTTTGCTGCGGGGAGAGACGCTCGCGGACGCGCCGGGACAAGGGAGGACGCCCCTACAGGAGCAGGACACCATCTGCGCACCGCCGGACTACCCGCGCGCTCCAGGAGCAAGGGAAGGGAGCAGGCGAAGGGAGCGCTGCCGGAGGAGGGGGTGGGGGGCGGCGGTCACGTGATGCGCGCGGCTCCGCCCTCCACGCCGAGGGGGCCGAGGGGATGGCGCCATGTTGGCCCTTCCGAGCGCGACTGCCAAGGCTGGAGCGTGGGAGGCGCGGGGGTCCTGATTTGGCTGCAGTGGATGCGTTCGAAGCGCTTCCCCGGCTTCGCCTTATTTACTCCTGTGGTTACTGCCCCTTATCTCTTCAGCAGGGGCTGCGTGAGAGGCTTATAATTACACTACAGTGTCACCTGGGCAGGTATCCCAGTTTTGGGCCCCTCAGTGACGCCTTGGGTGTAGCCGAAGATGAAAGGCAAAATTTAGGAATACCGTGCACGGTTTCCTGGACCTTCTTACTGAGCCTCATTTCTAAAAGGTACACAGTACGGCCCAAGTCTGGTGCAATCCGAAGAATGAATACTTGGGGAGGGAGCAACTTCCTGCCAGCTGATGCAAAAAGTTGAGAAGCTGGGATAACCAAGTGAACAAGAAACAGTAAAGAGTAGCTGAGTAGTAAAAGGAACGTGTACTGCATCCAGAGAAAGGATCTGGAGAAAAGGAGAAATGAGAGGAAAAGACAACTAAAGATGTGCTGTTTTGAAGTTTTGGAAATTGGTTTCTTTTTAATTAGTGAAGGAGTTGGTAGAGGGCTTTAACATACTGACTGATAGCGTTAGGTCCCCGCATACTAACTCTTAAGAATTGAGTAGAATTACAGAATTTCTTGGGGCACCTTGTTGGCCCAGTCAGTAGGGCATGGGACTCTTCATCTTGGGCTTATGAGTTCCAGCCCCATGTTGGGTGTGGAGATTACTTTAAAAAAAAAAAAAAAATTACCAAAATTCTTGGTGGTCTCAAGGCTGATCCTGCTACAGTGTGACTATTTCACCTACAGTGTGCAAGACATGAAGTCTTTAAAGAGCAAAAAAGCCCTCCATGTCTTGTACATTATTGGGTTTCACAATATCTGCACATAATAATCCTCCATGTAAGCAGTTACTTTAAACATTTCAGAGGCCATAAAAAGAGGAGAGGCAAAAATGATGTAGTTTTGGAATGTTGGTGGTGGTGGGGTCCAGAGCCCACCGCCAAGAATTCTTAAGATAGCTTCCACGCAAAAAAAGGTGGTTTTATTAAAGCATGCGACAGGACCTTGGGCTGTTGCCCCAGAATTGTGAGGAGCAACTGATTATGTACTTTGAGGTTGGGGGAAGTAAAGGTAAAGGAAGTTCCCAAAGGATTTTTTTATGCTAAAGAAAACTCATAGGATACCCAAGGCCTTGCTATTGTCAAATGAAAGTTATTTTTCCTTCTACCAGTGCTTTAACATTAAGACAGTTGGGAGGTTCCTGGAGGAGCATTATACTCTGCCTGCCTCAAGTATTTGTCAATCTACATTTCCTTCTGCCTTTGTTTCCCACATCAAAATTACTGATCAATTGTGTATTTTTTTTAAAAAGCCATTTCTAGTAGTTAAAATTAGTTCTTAGCATCCAAACATATTTTTCAAACCCCTTGCACTATAATCATTACAAAACAAAATGTAGTAGTCATTCAGCAACATCCAGCATGTTCCTGTAGAAAAGGCTGAAGAATGTGTTTTGTAAATGAGTTGTTTAGTAGCAGTTGTAAAAATACCTCTTTACCTGCCACTCCCTATTCAAAACTACTAGGAAGAGGGGCGCCTAGGTGGCTCAGTCGTTAAGCGTCTGCCTCCAGCTCAGATCATGATCCCAGGGTCCTGGGATCGAGCCCCGCATCGAGCCCCACATCGAGCCCCACATCGAGCCCCACATCGAGCCCCGCATCGGGCTCCCTGCTCGGCGGGGAGCCTGCTTCTCCCTCTCCCACTCCCCCGGCTTGTGTTCCCTTTCTAGCTGTCTTTCTGTGTCAAATAAATAAATAAAATCTTTAAAAAAACAAAAACTACTAGGAAGAACTGGGATAAAGTTGTAGAAAAGAGGGACGCCTGGGTGGCTCAATGGGTTAAGTGTCTGCCTTTGGCTCAGGTCCCACATCTGGCTCCTTGCTCTTTGGGGAGCCTGCTTCTCCCTCTGCCTGCCGCTCCCCCTGATTATACAACACCCCCGACAAATAAATAAAATCTTTAAAAAAAAATACGTAGAGAAGAGTCCATTTTGTAGATGTAAAGGGTTTAGTAAAGCAAGAAACCTCATTTTTTTATTCTGAAAAGATACCAGTAAATTCTCTATAGCCCCTAGATTAGTATTGTAACCAGACTAACCTGAGTTAGCTCATTGGTGAGTCACAGGAACTGATGTGGGAAACAAAGGCAGAAGAAAAATTATTAAATTTCCTTACTACCTTATAGCCCATTGATAAGTCCTTGAAACAGGCAGAGTGACATTCTGACTTTGCTAAGGGTAAAAGGCAATCCTAGCCCAACCCCTCCCTAGAATCCTGTAAGTCTACTTTAACATATAAAAATTCCTTTAAAAATTTCCTTATCTCTAAACCCCCCAAGATAGTGTTGGCAATCACCCCCAGGCATATGGCCCCCGATATACATCTGAAAGGTCTCATGACTAAGGTTTTATTAGACAGTAATAAATGACGTTTTCCCAATAATTAGCTAGCTCCCTCAGGTCCTGAAAAACTTGCTTCCAAATTCCTTAGAGACTTATGCTATCCCTAACCCCCTCCCAACTTGAAAGTATATAATGGTCCACTCCTCATGACCCCGGTATAGCTCTTTCTGCCCACAGGTCCTGTCCCTGTGCTTTAGTAAAACCACCTTTTTGCAACAAAAATGTTTCAAGAATTCTTTCTTGGCTCTCAGCTTCAAACCCTAAGGTTCTTTCCTACATCAGGAACTACACCAGGTGAGTTGTCCCACAAAGGAAACTTTATTTACAGTAAATAAGGAGATCATGGGGAATAACTTCCAAAGCCATGACTCCCAAGCAAGGAAGAATGGGATCCTTTTATTTAGGGTTAGGATGAATATTTAGATAAGGGAGCCTTAGTGTTATATGTAGAGGTGGGCATAAGATCTCACATGCACCTTAAGGAAACATACCTATACATACATTGTATGTTATGTAAATGAGGCTTGTGCTCCTCCTCCGGTGGAGACTTTAGTATTATAATGAGGTAAGGGTAAATAATAATGTAAGGGTAACTCTTGGTCACTCTGTGGGTCACATCATGGTCTGTTTGCGCAGGAATGAGACAGGGGTTAAGCTCAAACTGGTCTGGGTGGTCTAGGCCAGCTCTCTATCACAGCAGTCAGTATTGCTTGAGGGGTAGTTTTGGTTTCCATCACAGGATTCTCTGTGTATAGGATCTTTTGCCTGAGTTAAGAGCTTAAGGAAAACTATAGGACAAAGACTGGTGGGTACAAGCAGGTGAGCAGTAAAGATCAGGTCTTGGGATCTAGCTGATGACAGTGTTAGGGTGTAAGGTTAATAGAATTAAGAATTAACTTGAAGGATGCCTGGGTGGCTCAGTTGGTTGAGTTGGGTGGCTCAGTTTGGGCTCAGGTCATGATCTCAAGGTCCTGAGATTGAGTCCTGCATCGGGTTCCGTGCTTGGCGAGGAGTCTGCTTGTGCCTCTCCTTCTGCTCCTTCTCTCTCTCTCTCTAATAAATAAATAATCTGAAAGAAAGGAAGGAAGGAAGGGAGAAAGAAAGAAAGAAAGAGAAAGAAAGAAAGAAAGAAAGAAAGAAAGAAAGAAAGAAAGAAAGAAAGAAAAAAAGAAAAATTAACTTGGGGCATCTGGCTGGCTCAGTCAGTGGAGCATGTGACTCTTGATCTTGGGGTTGTAAATTTGAGCCCTACATTGTGTGTAGATGATGAGGGAGCAGAAGGTAAACTGAGGACAAAGCATAAGCTGACACCCCACAACAACAACAACCCCTCTCCCCCACGCCACTCCTGGATGGGATAGGTGAGACATTCCTCCAGGAAATTCCCAAGGGTCTTAATGTTAATACTTTGCTTGCTAGAGGGAAAAACAACTTCCCCTTGCCAATAGCCCGGCCCAGTATCTTCTTTAGCATATGAATCTTCTTTAGCATATAAAA